CACTTGCAGATAATACCCACTTGACCTGGCTTCAATAACTAGATGATCAGAGCTCAACTAGAAGAAAAAATTTGATGAACTTGATCTACACCTATGGATGCAGTAGCTCAAAAGAGGGAACATCTTTACAGCGAGGATCATTCCCAGCCCCTCCATACACAGAGTAGACAGGGATGGCAACTTGGACATTGGCTACCCAAAGTGTGTGTGGGGGGGAGGGGACTACAAAGGCAAGACGTGACTGGCTTACAAGCTTTCAAGAGGGAACCTAGATCCAGAGGGCGTGGAGGAAGGTAGAATCTCCAGTGAGTACTATCCAATCTGTCTAGGCAGGGCTGATGAAAGGAAATGCAGATAGGTCTCTTGTGATACAATAGTGAATAATTGTTATCAGGACTGATTGTGAGGGTTGGAAATGTAAAGGCAGATGTTTTGTAGCAAGGAGGGGAGTGATTGACTTTGCAGTCTAGGAGCGCAGGTCCCTGGGACCATCAAGGGAGAAGAGCGGAGAGCGGGACCCTACCCAGAGAAGCAGTGATACCAGAGATGGAGGCAGAGATGATGACGTGGAGAGATGGAGCAGCTGGGGACTTTAGACCCAAAGAGAGAGAGGGGCTGTGTGCTGACGACTGGGGGTGGGGGGGAGGGCAGGCTTGCAGGGTATACCCTTTGGTTGGTTGATGTTGCATAGAGGGGATTGTAACCTTGGCAACGCAAGGATATACTATAGGATGAATGTAAAACTAATGTTCTTCCATGTGAACTATCACATAATTCACAATAAAATATTTAAAAAAACAAACAAAACTTTCTTTCCCAGGCTCAGTTCTGGCCTATGAATGCCACGTTGTCACCGTTCAGGGAAGTTCACACAAGAAGTAAACAGCCTTTGCAAAACAGTGGTTATTGTTGTTGTTAAGAATCTATTCCAACCCATAGCTATTCTGTATAGGGTTTCCAAGGAGCAGTTGGTGAGCTTGAACTACCGACCTTGTGATTCAAACTGACTTTGTAGTCCAGCACATTAACCCACAGCGCCACATCAGGACTCTAATCCCCACATAGGTTTTGCTTTTACCATATGGTAATTATTTCCAAATCACAAGTGCAAACACTCACTCTGATTGGAAAATTAGCAGATTTCAAACTCAGGTAATTTGTCCCTAATGAGGAACTTGTTGAACTGAATTTAACAATTAACTCGCACACCTTTTACTGCCTGAGGCTATGTGAGTAAAGCCATGGAGAAGGAAGGGCAAGTTGGGGACCATGTCCTAGTAGGACTTACAGCACAAAATGAAGATGTGGAAGGGGAAAGGCAGTGTGGCATTAACCAGAAGCAAGGTGAGCACAAACTTACTTTTGCTTGTTACTGATCTCTAGTAAACAATGTCACTTTTTTGTTCTTTTTACCACATCAAAATTTTTGCTTCTAGCTGGGGACTTTAGATCCAGAGAGGAAGAGCCACTGTGTACTGAAGACTGAGGTGGGGGGAGGGGGAGGTAATGTAGGGGACAGGCTTGCAGGGAGGTAGTGTAGCAGGCAGGTTGATGATGCATGGAGGGGATTGGAACCATGGCAATGAAATGATATACAATAGAATGAATGTAAAACTAATGTTCTTCCATGTAAACTAGCATATAATTCACAATAAAACATTAAAAAAAAATTTGCTTCTAGGTGTGGCTGATATGTGTATCTCTTTCAACCCCACAGCACCTTCCTACAGAATCAAAGCCTCCTTTCAAGTTTGCAATCGCTGGCAAGAACAGAGTACACAATAATAACAAGTATGGGCGGGAGCACATGGGTTTCACCACAGATTAGTAAATAAGCCCAAGATTACTTTGCTTGGTGAGTAATCTGCTCCCAGGGAAAGGTGTGTAATGGTCAAGAACTTGACCATTCAAATGGATATAGGAGGGAACTTGAAATGTTCATGGAAAAATTCCGTTACCTTTTAATTCCATTTTCCTACAAACTTGTTGAAGTCCCTCATATAGATTGTTACTGTTTCTCATCAACTTGATTCTGATTCATAGCCACCATATAAGACAGTAGACCTGCCCCATAAGGTTTTCTATTGTTGTTGTTGGTATGTGAAATGGCTGACTTTCCTTCTCCAGTGGTAATATTTTTGAGTTGCAGATTCAGGAAAGTTTCAATTGTATAAAACATGAAGGGATATTTGGAGTAGACATGAATTCCTCTACACAGAACATATAAAGAATGGTTTACATTAGGTTACTGTATTTTCCAGTCATTATATAAAATTAAATTTGTGCTGTGAACTACAAGGTCGTCAGTTCAAACCCACCAACTGCTCCCAGGGAACCCGATACAGGGCCGCTATGAGTCAGAACCAACTCGACAGCACTTAACAACATAACATTTTTCTTAAGAGTCCCTTAATATTTATGGTTGTTTGAAAACTGTCATAGGCTTATTAAAGCAGTGTGAAGGACAGAATGACCTTGCCCCCAAAGGACTAACAAGCCAGATACTTTCAAAGTACAAAAAGTTCCAGAATTTTAGGTTTTACACTCAAATGTCTACATTTTGAAAAACAGATGTTAAATCATTTTAAATTGGTGTTATGTTGATAGCCAAGAAAAGAGTACAAATACAATACAAACAAATAGTAAGGCTGGTTCAATAACTCTTCTTGTAAGTAGAGAATTATCATGTATATCATTGAAAAAGAAAACCCCCAAAAACACTTGACACAAAAAGAAGTATCAATAAACAAGTCTATGTTTCTTTGGTGATGATGAATGTGTTTTATTATATTATTTTTCATCAAGATCACTTCAAACAGTAAAAGTCAAAGTATAGTTTAAAAGAAACTCACAATTTTATTAGGCTTTTGCCATGAACTCTTTAGAAATGTTATGGATATGGAGACATGTCATTATAATGTCAAGTTAAAAATTAGCTACTACAGTACATAGAAAAAACAACAACAATAGTATGTCAACATTTTAACAACAATATGATTTCTGAATTGTTAGTTTATGGGTGATTGTTTTATCTTTTACACAGCTACAGTGAGAAAACCATCTTATTTGTCCTTTAAAAAAATTTTTTTAAATAAAGATATGGTTGTAAGCAATATCTTTCCGTCAAGATGTCTACATCCTAATCCCTTGAAATGATGCATATGTAACCTTACATGGCAAATGGTAATTAACATTGCATATGGTACTAAGGAACCTTACTTCTATCACCTCCTTGGTCTGTGTCTTGATCTCTCACTGTGGCATGGTTATAAGCCACTACCCTCTTAACCCTTATGATATTTCCCATCCTCTCTGTTGTGTACTCATATTTGATCACATAACAGTCATCCTTCTATCAAGACTTTACCATGCTACAAATCTAGGCTAAATTGCTGAGGGATAGTTAGATGAGGTCTGGATCAGATCTACACTCTGAAGAACCATTTGACTTTGCTTTGGTGTCTATATTCTCCCCTCCAACTGAAGGCCTAACACAGTATAAGGTGCATGGGAAACCCTTCCTATGCAGTTGTTTGAATAAATACAGAGTCTGGAATTTTATTTCAAGGATGGTATCTTTAGTCCTCAATACTGAGATAATTGATTAGGGTAGCAGGAGGAAACAAAGATTACCAGTGGTAACCTAAAACAAAGCTGAATTTATTTGCTCGCCTGGGAAGGGAAAGCCACATCACTGGAGGAGAAGTGCTAAGCGTGTTTTTGTGTAGAACTTGAAGAGTCTATCTAGATCTAGAGCAAAAAGAAGGAAGTACATGAATATGGAGAGAGCCTTAGTTCAGGTCTCTGGTTGGTTCCTAAGGCCAAGTGTAAACTCTTCTTTGGAACTGGTCATTGCATGGTTTAATTTTTCCAAAGTAGAGCCAACACTCCCAAGGGTTCTTGGATCAGCTATATACAGCTTGAATGGGCTCAGTGTCACTCAGCCAGCAAATTTGATATGTGTGCTTGACTTTTGGTGAAATCTTTCTTTAATAGGATGGGTAGCACATTAGTATAGCTAGGTTAATCAAGTAAGAATAATTATCAATTCTCTCTCTCTTCACCAATCTCGTTTGTGCCAAACCAAATTCCTGTTTTCTTTAGAGCAAATTAGAGACATATTCCTTATAAAAACCGTATTTTATGTAGATGCTTGCCCTTCAAACTTCTAATAGAAAAACATGCAATTGGCACAGAATGTTCAGGGATCTTGGAATCCCTTTGAAACAAGAGAGAAGAGGTGAGGGAGTGGGGACTGCTGAACAAGTGATGAATCCAAAAAGGGAACAAAAAGAAACAAGAGGGGTTGCACTTAGGAATCTAACAAGGTCACCAATAGCTTAAAAGCAAACAAACAAAAGTGATTTTCCAATGTTAAGGAGTTTACCTGTTTGCAAACAAGCTAGAGTTCCATACAGTGTAGTCAATTTTATAAAGAGCAAGAAGACCAGATGTCCTGGAAGGGCCTTTTCAAGGCCAGTGGGGAACAGAAGTGCTGGGCTCTGCAGGATGTAATGAACGCAGTTGGGACTTTTTAAAGGGGAGAGCTGTCACACTAGCATGCCTGCCCCAAGGCATGCCACATAACTGGAGCTCTCTGAAGTACCTCAATCTAAGAGCAACCAGCATCATTTCTCTGCAGATTTGAAAATAAAATACTATTTTCAAAATGAATTTATAGAAACTGTACTGATATTTGGTACACTGTAAGCAAACATCACAATCTTTTGGAAGAGCTTCTGGTAATTTTAAGGTGACTTCCATACATATTTTGAACAGTGAAACTATTTTGAAACCGTAATAGCTTAGGCAAACCAACCCTGGTTCAAAGGATTTTTTACTTTAAATCCCATTTTTTGGTTGTGCTTCTGTATTAAGTTAGGACATCTAGCAATGTTTTGTTAACAAACAAATAAACATGAGGTATACACTGAGAATTCTACTGATTGAATGCTCATGTGTGATTCAAGAGGGGGAAAAACAGCATAAGATTAGAAGATTCAGGACCGTGGAGTTTTTCTTTTACTTATCTTCCTTTTATCTTTCTTGTGGCGGTGTAGACGCCTGTGAGAATAAGGCCAATCCGTCTGCGTGGATGCCTCGGCAGTAGCCACTGGACGCCGTGAGATATTCAATGGTTGTATCGGTGGCTGTTGCTGGGGACTGGTAGCAGGGACTCTCAGCTGAGGCTGGCTCTGCTCACGTGTGTCTGTGGCAGAGACAGGGTGAGGCAACACGGCTCTTGGGGTCTGTGCTAAATTTTGTAATTCCACAAGCTTAATAAGAACACTTTGCGGAGCAGGTAGAACCTGGGTGGGACTGGTTGAACTTTGTGCAGAGCCTGGTGCTCTTGGCTGTTGATGAATTATAAAACGCTGAGCTGGTTGCTGTGGAGTAAACTGAGGGAGATGACACAGACTGGTGGAACCTTTTGCAAAATCCTGTCCTCTCAGCTGTTGAGGATGATTTGGGGGATGCTGAAGTGGTTGACATAGAGTAAACTGAAAGTGTTGTTGTTGTTGTAGCTGCTGCTGTTGTTGTGGCTGCTGCTGCTGTTGTTGTTGTTGTTGTAGCTGCTGCTGCTGTTGTTGTTGTGGCTGCTGCTGTTGTTGTTGTTGTAGCTGCTGCTGCTGTTGTTGTTGTTGTAGCTGCTGCTGTTGTTGTTGTTGTTGTAGCTGCTGCTGCTGTTGTTGTTGTGGTAGCTGCTGCTGCTGTTGTTGTTGTTGTAGCTGCTGCTGTTGTTGTTGTTGTTGTAGCTGCTGCTGTTGTTGTTGTTGTGGCTGCTGCTGCTGCTGCTGTGAGAGAAAAATGAATTGACAACCTGGAAGCTGGAGTACAGTTAAAGGCCTGTTAGCTGAAGTATTTTTTAATGTAAGTGCTTGAGCTGGTACTCCACTTGGCACTACAGCTGGTACTCCCAAGGATGGGCAGACACCCTGACAGATTTCTGCAGGAGTTTTGGCATCAGAGCTACAGTCCAGTACAGGGTTTGAATCACTCGCTGAAGCCTGTGCTACACGAACAGAGTTCCTGGCATTGATAGAGTTTGACATGACTGGTTTGGTCGTGGTATGTTGTGATGAGCTGGCAGGTGATAGGGCTGCTGAAGAAAGTATGATAACTCGATTAAAATTGGCAAATGGCTTTTGAAAAGGAACTGGTGGCTTAGAGGCAGGCCCAGGAGTTGCAGCTTTAAGAAAGTCACTTGCCTGTTGTGGAACAGGATAGTTAACTGCGGAACTACTTCCTGAGCTTGAAGGAAGCGCGATGGGTTGAGTCCTCCATAGTGAAGACTGAAACAACATTCTCTGGGGTTGTTCTGTTTCTGCCCTTGGAGAAAGCTGACTCAGACTGGCTGAGCCACTGGAGCTGTGTGACTTCCTGGCTAGACATCTGGCTTCTTTCGGGACCAAGTGTTGGTACTGACTGACTGTGCTCTCAGCAGCTGACTTTGGTGATTTGTTCATGATCAAATCTGGATCATCATCTGTGGTGAAGAAGAATGGAGACCTCTCCCTATCACTTTCCTCGTCTTCTTTGGTAGGCTGCATTGTCCCTGAGAAAAGTGGGTCATCAAGTGACTGCATGAGACTGAGCGTTGTTTTCTGATACTGATTACCAGGTTTGCAGCCAAATAAGTCATTATCGTTTACTTCATAACCTGCCCAGACATTTAGTTGTAAAGCATCAGGCTTATCTACCTTTGCATATTTCTCCATGTTCACTTCAGAAGGCATGGCCAGATTACAGGGATTTTGTTCCCACATGTCCACACAATCCCCTGCTTTAGAAATTTCCAGGTCGTTTTGCTCACTTACTTTTCTTTTTTCAGTTTCTAGACAAGCAGTGAATGATTCCAGCTGTGGTGACAGTGGACAATGAAACAGCTCTGGCTGCTCGCTCTGAGAGGACGTCGAATATGTATCGAAGCACTGTTTCCTTGGATGAGTGTTCATCTTTTGCTTGTTATAAAGCAGTCTGTTTTCAGTGCAGGCTACTGCTACAGAAGGATCAAGACATAGGGGTTCAGCTGTAGCTAAGATCAGTTGGCTCTCAAGCTGAAGTTTGTCTTCCTGAGTCCATTTGGGGTAATTACTTGCTATTCTATCCACATCAGAGATTAAAGTCTGCGCTGTTGGACGTAAAAGAACATGTCTACTTTGGTAGCTAGGTGCTTGCATATTACCACACTGCCCATAGTCACGAACTTCTGCAATGACACATCCAGAGTAAAAAATATTCATCTGAGATTTTTCCAGGAAATCAATCAAAACAGGAGGTAACTCTTCTGCATCCAAGTACTCAAGCAATTCTCTTTTTTCATAAGACAACCGAATGGCTTCAGATTCTGAACCATCTCCTCCCTTGAACATCAGAGTATAGCCGCCACCGCTAGGATATAGCTTGACCACTAAACGTGACAAGCGCTCTCGCAAAACAAGCTTCTCTAACAAGTTCACATTTCTTTTTAATTCCTGTACACTCGTAGGTTCTTTTTCGAATTCTTCCACATATAAATCATGAAGTTTTTGAAATATCGATTTTTTCCCACTAGAAAAGTATTTCTGCTTTGGACTTCTCTGCTGGGCACTTTCAGCGAGATCGTCTTCACTATCCAACGCGTCTTCTAAAGACTGCTGCATTGTAGTATAAAACGCGGCCCTAAAAGGAGAGAAAATCTGTGTGTAAAGCGGGGTGTTTAATCTCAGTCATCTACTACTGCGAAAGGCTGCGTCTCTGCCTTTTAAGTGGCCGTTAATCAGTACGGACACCAAGAAACCTGCCCCCAAATAAGTGCTACACAAAATTCTTTTAAGTTCCTGAAATCGGTACCTTTCTGGGCGCCGAAACCGAGCCTCAAGATGGTGCCTCTGCCGCCGCCATCTTTGTTTTACGACGGCAATAGCGCTTGATGCGTGTGACGTTTTCCGTATGAAACGTGATGCACGCACGAGGCACGCATACCCGACTTCCTCCCTCCCTTCTGTAACTGGGCCTCACTGCTCTTTAATGTGCCCCCATTTTTAGATGGTGGAGTGGGCGTGCCTCTTTTTTTTTTTTTTTTTTTTTTACTTTAATGTTAAAGATACATCATACAAAAGCAGAAGCACCCACAGAAAAAATAGATGCATAGTTGGTATAATTTTAATAGGCAACACTTTTCAGAGGAATGCAGTGATGAGAAAGGCATGAAAAGCTGTAATTTGTTAGTGGTGGTGGTGTGTGTGAGAGAGACAGAGACCGAGATTTCTTTGGGAACTTTAACAAGAATTTTTTCACTGTTTGGAGAATCGCTTGCCATCAATGGGCAGTACTGCTTCTGGTATCTTTCACCAATTCAGCACATCCCAATGAGTGTGCTGTTGTAGCTTCTACATACATGGAACTGTTATTATCTGATGCTGGCGTGTTGATGTTGTTGTGCCGTTGAGTCGATTCCGACCCATAGCGACCCTGTATAGGGTTTCCGAGGAGTAGCTGGTGAGCTTGAACCGCTGACTTTGTCGTTGAAACTGCTTTGCAGTCTGGCACATAATGTTGCTGTTGTTTAGTGCCATCGAGTCGATTCTGACCTATAGCGACCCTGTATAGGGTTTCCGAGGAGAAGCTGGTGAGCTTGAACTGCCGACCTTGCAGTTCAAACTGCTTTGCAGTCTGGCGCATTATGTTGTTGTTGTTGTTTAGTGCCGTCAAGTAGATTCCGACCCATAGCGACCCTGTATATGGTTTCCAAGGAGCAGCAGGTGAGCTTGAACCGCCAACCTTGCAGTTCCAACACTTTGCAGTCTGGCGCATTAACACACAGCGCCACACCAGGACTCCCTGGTGCATTATTGTTGTTGTTGTTAAGCACCGTGGAGTCGGTTCTGACTCATAGTGACCCTGCACAGGGTTTCCGAGGCTGTGAATATTAACAGGAGCAGAAAGCCTCATCTTTCTCCCGTGGAACAGCTGGTAGTTTCAAACTGCCGACCTTGAGGTTAGCAGCCAGATTCGTAACCACTACGCTGCCAGAGCTCCTTAATTATTATTATTATTTGTTGTTGTTGTTGCTAAGTACCGTGGAGTCGATTCCGACTCATAGCGACCCTGCACAAGGTTTCCGAGGCTGTAAATCTTTACGGGAGCAGAATGCCTCATCTTTTTCCCACGGAACCGCTGGTAGTTTCAAACTGCCGACCTTGAGGTTAGCAGCCAGATTCATAACCACTACGCTACCAGAGTTCCTTAATTATTATAGGACTTCTTTATTGTGTCTTCCAGTAATACAGGGTTTAAGCGTTTTCATATTGATGTGCACATACCATGGCATTCCTACACATAATAACTTTCCTTTTATTTCCCTATATATTTTTTTCTCTAGTTTTGTGCTTAATAAGTTATATTGTCTATGGAATGCAGTTCAGGATAGTAAAGCGGCATGGAAGCATTTGAGTTTTTTGTTTGGTTTTGTTTTTCATTTTTTATTGTGAATTGGGTAAATGTTTATAGAGGAAATTATCCATTTTATGCTCAACAAATCAAGCATTTTGCTTCCTATTACTGTAATCCCCTCAGTGTAACATCACTTACCTGCCCTGTGTTTCTTGTTTCCATTCCTTCTTCTTTCCCAACCTTTCTGAACTTTGTCCTTGGGTGAATGTGGCCCTTTTGATCTGGAATGGTTGACCATTCTATGGTATGCATACCTCACTAGTGTTGTTGTCCCCTTGTGTACCTATCTACTGTTTGGCTGAAGTTTGAAACACAGGGTGAGTCCAGGTCCAGACCTGAAGGAAGACCAAGTCTTGGGGTGCCACCAGTTTCTATGTGACCAGTAAACCTGGTCTTGTTTAAGATTTTGAGTTTTGTTCCACAATTTCTCCCATTCTATCCAGGACCTTCTAAGGTGATCTCTTTCAGAGCAGTTGGTACTGATGGCTGGCCACTATCTAGTTCTTCTCGTCTCAGGGCCAGGGAGTCCCACGGTCCATTGGACTAATTATTTCCAAACATCTTCAATTTTCATTACTTTTCTTTCGTTCAGACAGGGACAGACCCATAGTTGAACCTTAGATGGCTACTCATGAGGTTTTAAGATCCCAGTGGTTGGTTGGTTGTGTGCCCTGGAGTCGGTTCCAACCCATAGCAACTCTGTACAGGGTTTCCGAGGCCGTAAATCTTTACAGGAGCAGATAGCCTCATCTTTCTCCCACGGAACAGCTGGTAGTTTCGAACTGCTGACCTTGTGGTTCGCAGCCCGATTCGTAACCACTGTACTACCAGAGCTCCTAAGATCCCAGTAGCTACTCACAAAAGTAGGATGTAGAGTATTATCTTTGTGGGACTATGTTATGCCAATTGAGCATGGTGTTCCCCCCAAACTATAGTCCTGAGATCCCAGGCCCAACATCACATTTTCTCAAGGGGTTTGGTAATGTCAAAGAAATTTCCATAACTTTGACCCCTGTATACTCTGCCATATTTGTGAATATGTTTGCAGCAAAACAAATACCCATGTCCAAATCTCTTCTGTCAAACCTATATATATATATGTATTTGAATAGACTGCCACTCTCCCTCCTACACCTGTTCAGTGTGTCTATCCAAGCATCTACCCATAGATCATTATTTCAGGAATGTATAACATTTACCTTTGTTGCCTTTAACCCTTGCTTGCCTCCCCATGTCTTCTCCTTTCTCCATCTTTTTTTTTTGCCAACCATAGTCTTATTGCATATTGGTGACTTAGGTCTGATAGGATGAGAGCTATTGTAGGTGATGACAATAAATTTTAAATGATAACAATAACTATAGACCATAGATATGGTTTTAATGATAGATTTAGAGGCTATCATGAAATCTTAGATAATTTATGGGCCATTGTTTTCTATTAACTAAAACCAGTTGCCGTTGACTTGATTCCAATTAATGAAGACCTTATGTTTATCATGGTAAAACTGTACTCCATACAGTTTTCAATCGTTCGTTTTTTAGAAGTAGATCAGCAGGTCTTTCTTCTAAGGTGCCTCTGAGTGGACTTGAGCCTCCACTGTTTTGTTAACAGCCAAAGTATTTTAACTATTAGCACAAGCCAGGGACTTTTCTGATAATTTAGTTGCACTGAATTCTGTCAGCATTCCTGGATAATTTTTGTTAACAGCCAAGTGTTTTAACTATTAGCACAAGCCAGGGACTTTTCTGATAATTTAGTTGCATTGAATTCTGTCAACGTTTCTGGATAAGCTTTTTTTTTCTTGTGTTTTTTTTTTGGGGGGGGGCGGTGGTAGGTAGGAGTAAGGAGTGAAGGTTAGGGTTGAGACTATGGATAGGTCTAGGCTTGGTCTGTTCTTAAGTGCCATCGAGTTGACTCTGATTCATAGCGACCCTGTAAAGGGTTTTCAAGGAGCGGCTGATAAGTTTGAACTGCTGACCTTTCAGTTCAAACTGAACTTGATGTCGAGTGCTTAACCTACAAGCTTTACACAAGGACTCTAGGCTTGGCCCAGGACTTCATTTATTATTAACGTTATGGTTCGAACTAGGGTTAGTGTTAAGGGTATGGGTTGCGCTAGTAAGGACTGGTCTAGTTTTAAGGTTACAGGTAGGTTTATTTTTATTTATTTATTTGAGATCTATTTGATTTCCTCTTCATTTGGAAATTCTGTAACTACATCATTCCCTCTTTTTACTTTATAGTGCTGTTTTGTTGTTGTTGCAACTGCATCTCTGGTTGTCTCTTTTCAGTCTTACAGATCTGTTTTACTTTGCATACTACTATATCTCAATTGGAGTCCTGGTGTGGCACCGTGGGTTAATGCACAGGACTGCAAAGTCGGTTTGAACCTCAAGGTTAGCAGTTCAAGTTCACCAGCCACTCCTCAGAAAGCCTATACAGGGTTGCTATGGGTTGGAACCAACTCGATGGCACTTAACAACAACAACATAATATCTGGGTTGAGTCTAAGTGTAATTGTCATGTATGTTAGTCTCAGGTTGTTTGCTGTTGCTGGTTCTCTGCCCAAAGAATTCCCTCTAGTATTTTTTGTAAGGTTGGTCTGGTTTTAAAAATTATTTTAATTTCTGTTTGTCTGAAAAATGCCCTAATTTTGCTGTCTTGTTGATGGACAGTATTGCTGTATATATGATTCTTCAATGGCATTTTGTTTGTTTCAGAGTCTTATATATGTGTCACCACATTGTCTTCTTGCCTGCATAGTTTCTGCTGAGAGATCAGAGTTTAGTCTTATTAGTTCTTTGTAGATAACTTTTCATTTTTCCTAAGCTGCTCTCAGGATTCTTTCCTTGTGTTTAATTGTGAAAAGTTTGATTATAATATGCCTTAGTGATTCTCTTTTGGGGTCTAGCCTGCTTGGAGTTCGTTCAACTTCTTGAATGCCTATCTTTTTTGTCTTGCATGATGTTAGGGAAGTTTTCTTCTGAAAACTCTTGGACAATATCCTCTGTGGGTTTTGTTTTTTTTTTGGGGGGGGGGAGGGGGTTGTATCTTTCTTTTCTGGAATTCTAATCACAACTAAGTTATTCCTCTTGATAGTGTTCCATATAAATCTTAGGCTTTCTTCAGATTTTTTTTTGTTGTTCTTTTTTCTTTTTTTGTTGTTCTTTTTTCTGATTTTTCTTCTAGCATATGAATATTGAGAAA